CCTCTTTCTGTTGTCCATGCTTAGTGTGGCACAGACAGACACACAATGCAAAAGGTTAAGTGAACGTCTCTCCTTTTTATCTGCTTTCAGGTGTGATTTCTATATTGCCCACACCTGTTACTTGCCCCAGGTGAGTTTACAGGAGCATCACATGCTTGTAACATTCTTATTTATCCGCAGTTGTGAAAGGGTGCCAATACTTTTGTCCAGCCCATTTTTGGAGGTTTGTGTGACATTATGTCGAATTTGCTTTCTTTCCTCCTTTTTTTTGTTTTGTCCCAATACACACAAAGGGAATAAACATGTGTATAGCAAAACATGTGTTAATGCAATACGTTTCGTGAGAAATACATGATTTCCTGGAGAAATATCAAGGGTGCCAACAATTTCGGCCATGACTGTAGCTGTACTCCAGGACAGGTAAGTGAGTGTTTATTAAAAGTCAGCAGCTACAGTTTTTGTAGCTGCTGACTTTTAATAAACAAAAATACGGCTGGAACTCTGCTTTAGGTAATGACAAGTTATTGTCAAATAAACAGGTTCGTAGCAGAAATATAAAAATTGCTCTGGTCCACAGAGGATGTACAGGTGTGAAAGGTGAAATGGTTAAAGAGACTTTGGGGGGAGATTTACTACTAAAACTGAAGCCCAGAGAATCTGGTGCAGCTGTTCATAGTGAGCAATCAGCTTCTAAATTCAGCTTGCTCAATGAAGCTTTGACAATAACACCTAGTAGCTGATTTGTTACTGAGCCAGATGCTCTGTGCTCCAGTTTTAGTAAATCTCTCCCTTTGTGCTGATTGCCAATACATGGGAGCACAGGCACAGTATTCTGCATTGTATATCGGTATGTGCATTGTGTTCAAGGGACAGTGAAACTTTCTTTTACCAGGTTTAGTAGAGCAAGGAGAAAGAAAAATAGGTCTACAGAAATGTTCTAGGAAGTCTAGAAATCAATAAAATGCATTTCACACTTTACGATCCAAAGAAAGGATTTACATTACTAAAACCACAGACTAATAGATGGTTGGCAAAAAATGTGTATTCCGATTGATAAACTAGTCTAATAAAAATGAGTCAGCACTGTCGCACTAAGCCTTCTGGACTTTCTCCAACTTTCTACTGTCTGCAAGGATTTCCTGCTTGGTCCTTGTTAGTACAAATATTCACTTGACACTGCCAAAATGTTTACATGAAGGTAAAGTGGATGACGCTGTGACAGATGAGTGGTTGTGTGAGGACATGGAGACTGGGAAGAGGAAAAACTAAGTTAGAAATTGGACTCAATAAATGGCAGTATTTTAGGGACTATCTCTTCCCATTTGCTTGGACCACTAGTTCTTTGGACCGCTATTTTGGAACATATGATATTTAGATAGATTCTATCTTTGTGTGTTTAAGATTTGTGCCTTCATATTGACCTGGCGTTCGGATGTAGATGAAGCAATGAAAGATGACCAGGCACCCCTAGCATTTTATATCTAGTGACAGTAACATTTTAGGCCTTGAAGAAGAACACAGTGTGTGATTCACCACAGTCTACACAAATGTTAGGATGGAGTGGAGTAATGTAAGTCTTTTTACATTCATTATTATTACAATTATTATACAGGATTTACAATTAGGTCCATATATATTTGGACACAAGCACAATTTTAGATTTTTTCAGATATTTACCAAAACATAATCAAGCTATAGTTATATAATGCGCTGATATATGCCCCCTCTGTACACGTTCCATCACTGTACCCCCTCTGTACACGTTCCATCACTGTACCCCTCTGCACACATGTTCCATCGCTGTACCCCTCTGCACACATGTTCCATCACTGTACCCCCTCTGTACACGTTCCATCACTGTACCCCCTCTGCACACATGTTCCATCGCTGTACCCCCCTTCTCTGCACACATGTTCCATCACTGTACCCCCTCTGTACACGCTCCATCACTGTACCCCCTCTGTACACGTTCCATCATTGTACCCCCTCTGCACACGTTCCATCACTGTACCCCCTCTGCACACGTTCCATCACTGTACCCCCTCTGCACACGTTCCATCACTGTACCCCTCTGCACACATGTTCCATCACCGTACTCCCTCTGCACACATGTTCCATCACCGTACCCCCTCTGCACACATATTCCATCATGTTACCCCCACTGCACACATGTTCCATCACTGTACCCCCTCTGCACACATGTTCCATCCCTGTACTCCCTCTGCATACATATTCCATCATGTTACCCCCACTGCACACATGTTCCATCGCTGTACCCCCTCTGCACAAATGTTCCATCACCGTACCCCTCTGCACACATGTTCCATCACCGTACCCCTTCTGCACACATGTTCCATCACCGTACCCCCTCTGCACAAATGTTCCATCACCGTACCCCCTGCACACATGTTCCATCACCGTACCCCCTCTGCACACGTTCCATCACCATACTCCCTCTGCACATATGTTCCATCACCGTACCCCCCTCTGCACACATGTTCCATCACCGTACCCCCTCTGCACACATGTTCCATCACCGTACCCCCCTGCACACATGTTCCATCACTGTACCCCCCTCTGCACACATGTTCCATCACCGTACCCCCTCTGCACACATGTTCCATCACTGTACCCCCTCTGCACACATATTCCATCATGTTACCCCCACTGCACACATGTTCCATCACTGTACCCCCCTCTGCACACATGTTCCATCCCTGTACTCCCTCTGCACACATATTCCATCATGTTACCCCCACTGCACACATGTTCCATCACTGTACCCCCCTCTGCACACATGTTCCATCACTGTACCCCCTCTGCACACATATTCCATCATGGCACCCCCTCTGCACACATATTCCATCATGTTACCCCCCCCCCACTGCACACATGTTCCATCCCTGTACTCCCTCTGCACACATATTCCATCATGTTAATCCCACTGCACACATGTTCCATCACTGTACCCCCTCTGCACACATGTTCCATCACTGTACCCCATCTGCACACATGTTCCATCACCGTACCTCCTCTGCACACATGTTCCATCACCGTACCCCCTCTGCACACATGTTCCATCACCGTACTCCCTCTGCACACATGTTCCATCACCGTACCCCTTCTGCACACATATTCCATCATGTTACCCCCACTGCACACATGTTCCATCACCGTACCCCCTCTGCACACATGTTCCATCACCGTACTCCCTCTGCACACATGTTCCATCACCGTACCCCTTCTGCACACATGTTCCATCGCTGTACCCCCTCTGCACAAATGTTCCATCACTGTACCCCCTCTGCACACATGTTCCATCACCGTACTCCCTCTGCACACATGTTCCATCACCGTACTCCCTCTGCACACATGTTCCATCACCGTACCCCCTCTGCACACATATTCTATCATGGTACCCCCTCTGCACACATATTTCATCATGTTGCCCCCACTGCACACATGTTCCATCACTGTACCCCCTCTGCACACATGTTCCATCCCTGTACTCCCTCTGCACACATGTTCCATCACCGTACCCCCTCTGCACACATATTCCATCATGGTACCCCCACTGCACACATGTTCCATCACTGTACCCCCTCTGCACACATGTTCCATCACAGTACCCTCTCTGCACACATATTCCATCATGGTACCCCCCCCTCTGCACATATGTTCTATCACTGTACTCCCTCTGCACATATGTTCGATTCCTGTAACCCCCTTACTCAAATGTTTCCATCACCCTATTGCAGTCAGGGAGGAAGCTGGGCCTGTGACTAACAGTTAACCCCTGAATTGCCAGACAGTTACATTAATCAGTGGGTGCTTTAAGAAGTACAATGTAAAGGTGTCTGGCAACTGAGGGGTTAACTGTTAGCCACAGCTCAGCTCCCTCCCCAGCAACTATGGGGTTAAGTCTATGTAGCAGCTCAGCCCCCCTTCTCCTCTGCTTATACAGAGTGAACATAAAATCCCTTCTCTCTCCCTGTGTGTCCAGTGATCTTCACAGTTAATAGTGATGACTGATGTTCATCTCCCTTCTGGGCTGTCACAGTAAATCCCCAGTGAATTCTTTTGCCCTAGGCTGCCTGTGTTGTTGTCAGGCATGTATGGAGTTAAATGCATTCGGCTCCAGGCTTGCTGACAGCTGATACTATTAGATGGGAGGAGGGGCACACTGCCTCTGTGGGCAGTTCAGACCAGAAGTCTCAGATTGTCCGCGCACTGCAGCCAGCAGGAACTGCATCACTCCTGCTGACATAAGAACTACAGGAGGGATGTGCCAAGACCAGTGGCTGGGGAATGCAAGGCACAGCAGCCAATTCTATCTTACAAACAGGAAGACACAAGGGATTAACGCCATGATTTAAAGAATGCACATGCTGTTTCTCAGAAACTACAGAGGCAACCAGAAGACGAACTACATATTCTAGGAAGCTAGGAAAGCAGCAATAAATCTATGTAAAGAAGTTTTTGCCCGGAGTTTTTTGCTTTTATGAAATAAAGGACTTTAATTTAGGCTCTGCCTGTCACCTTTCCTGGTGTTTTTGGTAAACAGTTTGAGTTCCATCATGGATAAGAAAAACAAAATGTTTATCTCTCAGTTGGAACAAACACTGCTGACATACAAAATGTCACATTAAAAAAAGTATTTAAAGGTCATCTGTGCAAACACTAAATGATTAATGCTGTCAACTTTCAGCCAAAAGAAATATGTCTTCATGAACCTTGTTCTCACACAAAAATATAAAATACAGAATATAAATGTGAAAAGAATCAACAGAAAAATGAAAATAATCAACACAATTACCTTATCTGCTTCCCGACCGCCCTATAGAAGAAATACTGCTAAAGGGCGGCACAGGTGCGCACAACCACGTATAGATAAGTGATTTTGCATTTCGGGGTAGGGGGTGCGCACGCCCTACCCACGCTGCCATTTGTGGCTGTCAATCACCAAGTCCCCGCCAGTGATTACTCGCCAGTGCCTGGTGATTTACCAAGGATCTCCGACGGGGAGCAGAACTGTTTTGTTTACTAACAGTCCTCCTCCTCAGCTTGGGCACACTGCTTTGGATGGCTGTGCACAGCACAGCCATCCAAAGCAGTGTGATTACAGTGAAGCACACTGACACAGCCCCCTAGTAAAATACTCCCTGCACACAGTTAACCCTTTGATCGCCCCTCATGTTAACCCCTTCCTGCTCAGTGCCATTAGTATAGTGTCAGTGCTTTTTTTTTAGCATTAATCACTGTATTGGTGTCACTGGTGATGTCAGTGACACCAAGTCAGTTCCCCCCAGTGTCAGAATGCCTGCCGCAGTCCCGCTATAAGTTGCTAATTGCTGCTATTACTAGTAACAAAAAAAAATAAAAAAAATCCCAGTATATACACCGCCATTTGTAGACGATATAACTTTCACGTAAACCAATTAATTTACACATATTGGGATTTTTCTTTAGCAAAGACATGTAGCAGAAAACATTTTGGCCTAAATTTATGACAAAATTAGATTTTTGTAATTTTTTACTGGACATTTTTAATAGCAAAAAGTCAAAAATATTGTTTTTTTCTCAAAATTGTCAGCCTTTTTTTTTTAGCGCAAAAAAATAAAAATACACAGGCGATCAAATACACCGAAAGAAAGCTCAATTAGTGGGAGAAAAAGGATGTAAATTTAATTTGGGTGCAGCGCTGCATGACCACGCAAATGTCAGTTAAAGTAACGCAGCCCCGTAACGCAAAAAATAACCAGGTCAGGAGGGGGGGGGGGGTAAATCCTCAGGAGGGCAAGTGGTTAAAGTGTTAATAAAGTTTTTTTTTTTTTTAATTAAAAAACAAAACGTTATACACCTGCTCGGTGCAATGGTATCCTCCTCTTCTCAGGTCCCCCGCCAGCGATCTTGGCTCCTGCTCTTCTTCCATGTGTCCCCATAGCAAACCATTTGCTATGGGGGCACACAGTGTCTGCTCGCTCCTGAGATGTGTTTTTATGGAACCGTGCTCCAAAGACAAACACAGAGGGACTTAGCCCTCACTTCTTCCTGACTGAATGTGATTGACAGCGGCAGGAGCCATTTGAGTCTTGTGTGAAGAGGAAGAGAGGGGAGAGGAGATGCAGCCATGCACATTGCTGGATATGTTCTCCTCTCCCTTCCCCATTACACAGAGAACAGGAGGACAGAAATATTTATTTATTTCAGGTACTTGTATAGCACTGTCAATTTACACAGTGCTTAACATGTATGTTGTACATTCACATCAGTCCCTTACCCTCAAGGGGTGTACAATCTAAGGTCCCTAACTTACATTCATGAGCCAATTTTAGACAGGATCCAATTAACCTTCCAGCATGTCTTTGGAGTGTGGGAGGAAACTGGAGTACCAGAAGGAAACCCACCTAGGCACAGGGAGAACATACAAACTCTAGACAGGTGGTGCCGTGGTTGGGATTCAAACCAACGACCCCAGTACCGCCAGGCGGAAGTGCAAACCATTTATCCACTGTGCTGCCCGATATATAGAAAACATAGAAAATGTTTTTTATTTTATTGCAAGAAATGCATAAAGGTAAAAAAATATTTTTAGGTTTAGTATCATTTTAAAGAGAGGAACGAAAAGGAACAATGCAAAAAGTGACAGCAAACCAGAGAATAGAAAAGCAAAAGAGAACAAAGAGAAGGAGAATGCAAATAGAAGGAAAAGAAAAGATAGGAGGAATAGAAAATGCTACCTTCCCTCTTTATTGTAACCCATTATAGGCTGGCCATACACTATACAATTTTCTGTCCAATTTCTGCCCAATTTCCTTTAGATTTACCTTCCACTATGTAGTGCAAGGGCCTGCCTAATTGGATACAATTGAAAGTGTTGTTAGGTTTGACCTCCTATTATATGGTTTTTGGTAAATCTAAACCCAAAATCTCAACAGAAATTGGACAGAAAATTGTATAATGTATGGCCAGCCTTATGCAGGCAATCATTAAAGTGAGGAGCTTTGGGTTTTTTAGTTGAGGTTGATGTCAAGATCCATTGCACTGAGAATCTCAAATCTTAAAAGATGCTCTTTCGGTATGCTGGAATGTCTTCTAGTGAGATTTGTGACATTCAGGACTTGTTCCCACTATCCTGCACAGTAAACACAGCACTTTACTTTTTTAACTTTATTTTAATTTTTTTTTTTTTTTTATGGTTGAACCGGATGGACTTTTGTCTTTCTTTCAGCCAGACTAAGGCTGGCAATACACTATACAATTTTCTGTCCAATTTCTGCCCAATTTTCTTTAGATTTACCTTCAACTGTGTAGTGCAAGGGCCTGCCTAATTGGATACAATTGAAAGTGTTGTTTAGGTTTGGCCTCATATTATATGGTTTTTGGTAAATCTAAAGCAATTTTCTAAAGAAAATGGTATAATTTATGGCCAGCCTAACTATGTAACTATGAATTGTCCCATCACCTCGTGATATTTCATTCATGTCTCTGCACAGGGCTGCAGTGCGGTGACATGCACAGCTATCCATGCAGTGCAGAAAATCACATAGCTGCATCTTCCTGCATTGTTCTGCACCGCACATCACAACAACCAAACTAAAAACTTCAGGATCTATAAATCCATCTAATCTAACTTAAAAGAGACGTGCGAGGGTATTTGGCAACTACAAAATACTTAGTCTCTCTATATTGTTATTACATAAACTAATCTGTAAAGCTGGCACCTTATTGTGCTATATCATGGTGATTTATTGCTGACAAACTCTCCATCTCGTTTTCCATTAAGTGTATTATGGATTTGCGCTACATATTATAAAGTTTGATTCCAAGAAGTCATCTCGCTGTGCAGCTGCTGGTGGATTCAAACACCCCACGTAGGAATGATCAATCATTTCTTATTGCTCTGTAATTGATGGATCTTATTCACATGCATATAGGAAAATGTGGGGTTTGATAAGAAGTACTGCAGATTTGTGAGCCCAGATAAATTACAAGCTGCTGTTCTCCTTTGCATACTTGTGACAAAGTGTTAATGAAAGGAAAAGGCAAAGTCTGAACTTTCCTGCTGATGAAAATCATATATCTTTCATGTCAGAAGATTCATATTTCCAATACACTCCTCCATAGCTCCCAACTGTCTGGGGAGGGAGAGAGGGAGTGATGTGCCCGTGCAATGCCCAGCTAAGCTTCTAGACACAGCACCAGTGCCAGATCAAATCTGAACCAAAATCTAGGGGGAAAACAATTATACCAGTACATAATAATAACCAAAAAAACTAAATTATACAAAAAATTGTTCCATGTTATATGTTTACAATGGCTGCTGATGTAATCTACGACAGCAGAGAACCACAGTTATTTGCAGTGGCAGTGGCATTTTGCAGTCATCCACTATTAACCACTTGCCCTCCGGAGGATTTACCCCCCTTCCTGACCAGGCCATTTTTTGCGATACGACGCTGCATTACCAAAAGCTCCTTTAAAAATTGCCTGCATATAATGGGCTACAATAAAGAAAAGGAAGGTAGCATTTTCTATTCCTCCTATCCAGGGGCGGACTGACAACTCATGGGGCCCCCGGGCAATAGGGGATCATGGGGCCCCTGTGTCCTCACCCACACTCAAACCACACCCAAAAAAGCCTATGGAAGGTACCAGGGGCATCTCATGGGGCCCCTTACTGACCCAGGGCCCTCGGGCAGTGCCTGAGTTTCCGAATGGTTAGTCCGCCCCTGCTCCTATCTCTTCTTTTCCTTTATTTGCATTCTCCTTCTCTTTGTTCTCTTTTTACGCAGACAATTGCGCGGTCATGCAACGCTGCACCCAAATGAAATTTATGTCATTTTTCCCACAAATAGAGCTTTCTTTTGGTGGTATTTGATCACTTGTGGAGTTTTTATTTTTTGCGCTATTAAAAAAAAAAAGACCGACAAGTTTGAGAAAAAAACAATATTTTTGACTTTTTGCTATTAAACATGTTCAGTAAAAAAATGTAAAAAATCTAAATTTCATCACAAATTTATGCCAAAATGTATTCTGCAATGTCTTTGCTAAAAAAAATACTAATACATGTAAATTAATTGGTTTACGTGGACGTTATAGCATTTACAAATGGCGGTTTAAATACTGGGATTTTTTTTTTTGTTTTTCATTTTTACTAGTAATGGCGGCAATCAGTGACTTATAGCGGGACTGCGGCGGACATTCTGACACGGGGGGGAACTGACATGGTGTCACTGACATCCCCAGTGACACCAATACAGTGATTAGTGCTAAAAAAAAAAAGGACTGACACTTTACTAATGGCACTGTGTTACATGTTTACAATGGCTGCTGAAGTTATCTACACCAGCAGGGAACCACAATTGTTTGCAGTGGCAGTGGCATTTTTTAGTCATCCACTATGGACCACTTGTACTCCAGAGGATTTACCCCCTTCCTGACCAGGCAATTTTTTCCAATACGACGCTGAGTTACTTTAACTGACAATTGCGAAGTCATACAACGCCTCACCCAAATGAAATATATGTCCTTTTTCCCACAAATAGAGCTTTCTTTCGGTGGTATTTGATTGCCTGTGCGTTTTTATTTTTTTGAGCTATTAAAAAAAAAGACCGGCAATTTTTTCCAATATGATGTTGCATTACTTTAACTGACAATTGCTTGGTCATGCAACACTGCACCCAAATTAAATTTATGTCCTTTTTTCCCACAAACAGAGCTTTCTTTCAGTGGTATTTGATCGCCTGTGAGCTTTTAATTTTTTTGCGCTACAGACAAAAAAAGACAGACAATTTTGAAAAAAAAACAACAATATTTTTTTACTTTTTGCTATAAAACATATCCAGTAATACTTTTTTTTTTTAATCAAATTTCATCATAAATTTAAGCCAAAATGTATTCTTCGCACTGCAAACTTCATTCCACCCTCCTCCCTACATCATATTTACGTAAACTCCCAAGATCACCAACCACAAATTAAAAATTAAAAAAACAGAAAAAAACACCTTTCCCTCAACCCTATCCCAATACATGTAAATTAATTGGCTTACATGAAAGTTATAACATCCACAAATGGCGTTATATATACTGGATTTTTTTTATATATACTAGTAATGGCGGCGATCAGCGACTTATAGCGGTACTGCGGGTGGGCATTCTGACACTGGGTGGGAACTAACTGCCACTGACATCCCCAGTGACAAAAATACAGTGATCAGTGCTGATAAAAAGAACTGACACTGTAGTAATGACACTGGGCAGGAAGGGGTTAACATCTGGGGTGATCAAAGGGTTAACTGTGTGCTGTTTTACTATGTTGTCTGTGTGTGCTTTATAATGTAAACAT